AATTTCCACGATAATGCTCTTTCGCTTTTTGCTAAAGTTTTTAAGATAATCCATTTACTTAAAAAACTAAAAAAAAAAGAAAAATCGAACGTGGTTTAATCTGCACGTAAAAAAAAATATTGGAAAAACTGTTTCTTATAAAATTGTGGACCCATCTTCCGTTCCATTAGAATTACTTGCAGCATTTGATATATAGTGTTGAAGTCCATTTAAACATTTTAGATTTTTTCAAGTACATGTATTGTTATATTCTGGTTGAAAAATAAATTGTATTAAACGCGATCGGCGAGCAGTTTAGAAGACTTCGAGAAATATTTGCATCTCTCATTATCTGGAATTTTGGTAATATGGCATTTCAGCAATTAAGAATAAATAAATAATTCTCTAAGAGCAACTGTACTAATAGATTCTTAACTCACAAAAATTCTGTGTTACCAAATTCCGTTTTAAAAATACGTGACTTTTTAATACTTCAAATACTTTTTTAACAACATCAATAAATCTGTTTTCCAGGAAAAAATTGCAATAATAAATCAATGATAGCATTAATCATCATGGGTCATGATAACATTAAATCAATTCTAACCGCCTTTACTAGCAATATAAGGATTAACTGTATTGGGTTAAAAGAATTAGAATCATCATATAGAGACGTTAAGAAATCATTGCGCGAATAAGTTGCGACAAATAAAATCTGGAAACCACAATAAAATTTTGCACAACTGTGATAAAAACTATTAATAAAATGTATAACGTTCTAGTATTCTGCTCATTGCACCGAAAAAAGAATTTTTGTAAAATTACCGTATTCTATGGTAAAGTTATATGTGTTCATGCTAAGAATACCATAATTTAGATAATATAACCAAAATATACGATATTTTAACCATTCATTTGGTAACTGTTTACTTGGAATTTTGATTTCAAAAAATTATGACTCTTATTAACACGCATTTAGTAAAAAATACAGAACATGAAAATAAATTGAACCTATAAAGGATTTTTATGCTATTCTCTAATCATAAAAAATTTGCCAAATTTTATCAAATATCATAAAGCCATATTTAATAGTTAATTTTACCAAAATCCTTAACAAAACATTGCTATATAAATTACCGAGCTTTCTGGTACTCCAGAAAGATGGTATTTAACCATATTCTGGTAGTTTTGACAAAACTTTTTTTCTCAGTGTAAAACATTTTAATGTCTTTAAGATCTTGTCATTATCAGTATTTTATTGATTATATGAAAGGGGGTTGGTTCATGCAACAAAAAAAAAAATCTGCTAATAAAACGTTTTTTTAGATTCAATTGTGAACTTACTCAGGGGGAGGATTACGAAAGAGAGAAACTTAAAAATCTCCTACTTAAAAAACGAAACGAAAAAGGTATTTTCTCCCGAGAATTTGTTATTTTGAGTCGAGTAGGGTGAAAGCTAAATCGATCGGCAAAAAAATTTACTAATTAAGCTGGAATTTTTATAATCAAAAAGACATTTAACATTTCTTACTACATTGAGAAAAGAAATAATAAAGGTAAAACTACCGGAATATGGTAAAATTTACCATGTTTCTGGCTCTATAGGAACACGAAAAAGCTTGGTAATGTTTACTAAAGCGCCTTGATAATGATTTTGGTGAAATTAACAATAAAATACGGTTTTAAAGTGATAAAATGTGTTAACAGTGATAAAATCTGGTAATTTTATGAAGATATCTTAGAGTTTGGCAAGCAATTCATATTTTCGATTAAAATTACTTTTCAGTATTCCTTATTTTACTAAATGTGTGGTAATAAGGACCATAATTTTGGAAAAAAGTGTTCCGGAAAATGTTTGAAATGTTCCGGATGTTTAGAAAAATTATTTATTTTCAAATGAATAATTTAATTATAGTATTTTTTGGTTTTATTTATAATGCAACCCCCTCCAATAAAAGGCCAAGGGGAAGGCCCAAAAAGAGATGGAAGGACTGTGTAGATAAGGATTTTGCCATCCTAAAAGTAAAGAACTGGAAAACAATTGCTGGGAGAAGGGCAGAATGGGAAAAGCTTCTGAGGAAGGTCCAGGCCCACAAAGGGCTGTCGTGCCAATGCTGATGATGATGATTTATAAAAATTATGGTATAATTTAAATATAGTATTTTTTGGTTTTATTAATAAAAATTATGGTTTTCTATCTGAAATGTCATTACCATACAGCAAGGTAATTTTTCAGAATTTCTTTTCTTTGTGAACTTTTCTTAAAGTAAATAAAGGGTGAATAAAACAAAATATAAAATAAAATTATTATGCTGCTGAAAATAACTTTATATATGAGACTATAACTTTCTATAACATAACTTTATAGTATGAGATAAAATTTGGTAAACGGGTTAAAATTTAATAATTTTATCATGATACCTTAGAGCATGGCATACAAACTATTTATTTGATCCGAGTTGACTTTTCAGTTTTGTATTTCAAACTAAATATGTGGTAATAAGAACTGTAATTTTGAAAAAGGGAATTTCCTGAAAATCGTTGCAATGAATGGTTTAAGTACATTATATTTTGGATTATTAACTGGAATCATGTTTTCTTTTTTTACCAGAAATGTAATAAATATACAGTATGAAAATTTTTATCAGACTTTTTTTACTCCGTGTAGATCAAATGAATATCATAAAATTTTCTCCGTTTTTGAATCCCCTTATTAAGTCCAAGATGGCGGATAAAGTTCACTTCAAAAGAGGAGACTATAAAGTATAAATTTGACTAATACGTATTCAATCGCTTGACATTTTTTACTAGATGCGTAAGGTTCTGGCAAATAGGTCTAAGTCAAAATGTATACCTTTAGAAGTACATATACTAAAGTCCTTACATTTTATAAATTATTAATCCTATCTGCCTGATTTTGATTTCATGCGTTCGAGCAAAAAATAATACTTATTAAACAATACTTCACTTGCCTAGATAGTATTGTAAAAGTTTCACCTTGTTAAGCCCTTTCAGTAATTTCAAGATGGTGGAAAAAATTCACGCCGAAAAAGGGACGCATTTCAGACACTAAGTATCCTAAACTGAAGGTACTACTTGGACTTTAACTAAAACTGTTAAAACAATTACTAGTTAGCGCTAAATAATTCTTAAGGCATCTAAGGACTAGTGCAAAAACATGAATTGGAGCAAATTTTCTGAAAATGAGTTTATTATAAATTTAAAATCTCTGTATTCTTAGCTTTCTAAAAATACTTTAGTTTTGTTTGCACTCTAATTATTAACAAAGTTAAAGCAGTTTTGGTGCAAGATGATAACAGTGGATTGACTAATGATTATGAGTCTTTAAATGCGTTTATCTCAAAATTAGATTGTTTTCACATTTTACACTGCCTTAAACATATATCTCAAGTTATTTTTAAAATAATTGTCAACAATTTATCATGAGTATTTATGATTATAGTACGCATCTTTTGAACTACAGACTAAGAGAAAAAAGTAGAATATATTATTTTTATGCATGTTTTTTCCTCAAAAAAACTGCGGACATTTTTAAAAAGTTGCTTTTTTACTACATTAATCCCTAACTCAGTAGTATATACACTTGAGTTTAAGATAATAGTTCAAAACATAGTTGATAGCCTTCTAAATAAAGTCCTCAAAGGATTTTTTGTCTTAGGCGAAAGAATTTTTTTTTAGAATTTAGCGTAAATACCTTTTCTATTTAAGCTGAATTCTAAAAAAATTACTATTTTCACCTAAAAATGGAGATTTCTAAATAATAATAATATTTTTTGTTAGTTTTAAAAGTTTTTTCACATAAAGCAATTAAATTAGTTTTTTTTTCAATTTCATACTAATGTTTTTTAAGAAAAATTGTCGAAACTAGTCGGAAATCTTAATTAAAGTAAAATAAAAATTCTTTATAACTTCAATATGCAATCGTTGATGGAATTGTTTTTATGGAGAGATTGTTGCTATCAGCAAGTATACACATTGATGCCATTGTATGTAGATTCATATCTTAATAGTTAACCGTGAAGATAGATCAGATATTTTAATAGTTACTGTCCTTGGCAGAGGAGTAGTCACCAAAATTCCCACCCATTTGAAGAGTGCAGCAAGATTGCTGAAAAAGGCAAAAGATTTTTCGTTTTTTAAGGAAGAAGATAAAATGCCTTGAGTTGACGACATCCATTTGCTTTATCATCATAAATGGTTAAGATTAGAAGAAGAAAATATGGTGATATTATGTTCATTTCTAACTTTTCTGATTTTTTAACTTCTCCGATTTTGCCCTTTTTCTTATTAAAGCTGCAGAAAAATGTATTTTTCCCAAACACAATTTTATCTATATATCGGAAGAGTCTATTAATTTTTATCTCGTAATAATCATACAATAATAGTTTTTTTTTTTTAATTTTAACATTTTAACGATGTTTCTTAAATTTATCGTAGTAGCGGATTTCTCGTATTAAGCCGTTTTCGTTACATCGTGATTTTAAGAACATGCAAACATCTAACATGAAGAACATGAAGCAAGAACATCAAACATCATTCATTTAAGGATCGTTTCATTAAGTATTGATCATTTAAGAACAGCAAACGACAAGTAAAGGTAATTTTTTTTTATTAATGTTGAGTAAAATTTGATGAAGTAGATAGTTTAAAAAAGTATTTCGGGTCTATATCGGTCATGAATTATATAATCATTTGGTTCCTTAAAACTTCAGTTCAAACCCCTCTGAGATGAAACCTCAAGAAGAAAAATATATTACGCGCATCTTTTCACCTTGAATTCAAAGAATAGGTTTAAAACTCATTTCCGCAAACCGTGAATAAATTTTCAAGACTTCTATCAATGTCACTAGAGTAAAATAAAGGGAAAAAAAGAAATAAAAATCAATGTTCCACTCCAGAGTTGACAGGAAAGTGACCGTAAATAATTCCAGAAGATCCCGTGCCAAGGGCTGCACATTTCTGACGCAATTTTGGAACTTTCAACAGAAAAGGGGGAAGACTGATGGAACAAAATCATGCACTCTAAATGTTGGCATGCGCTTGGCGTGCGCAGTGAAGCGTACTGTCATTCAATGCCGTATTAAGAACAAATGAATGGGTATTTTGGAAAATTGTAAGTATGAGAAATATAATTTCTATATAAAGCAACAATGCTGTCTTCGAAGTTGTAGATGCATTTGCACACTAAACGTGAAACAAACATATCATAACTTCATCATCTTTTGGTAAGTTAAAACTTATTTTTTTATTAGGAACACAATAAACTCATTTATATTTATAACCAAACTTTTTGATGGAATTTAGTGTGGGTTGATAGTATTTTAATGCTAATTTATAATACATTTTGCTATATTAATGTTAAAACAACGGTTTTCAAGACAACATTTTATAAGTTCATAATAACTCCTTCTAGTTTACTTTTCTAACACGGTCTTATTTAACTTTACAATTTCAATAAGAATAAAGTCTTAAAAAATATTAAAATTATATTTTTTAGAAAATTGTTCAATAAAAAAAATATTATCAATATAAAGTTACTTTCTGTAATATAATAACTTTATTTTATATTATTTTTATGCACCTTTTACTTACTTTTTGAAAAGTTCAAGAAGAAAAAAGTACTTTTAAATATACCGTGCTGTATGGTAATGACATTTCTGATAGAAAAAATCATAATTATTATTGATAAAACCAAAATATACAATACTAAATTATTAATTTGGTAATTTTTTCGCTCATATGGTGATGTTTCACAGGAAGCACAGTTTTTCAAAATTATAGTCCTTATTACCACACATTTAGTAAAATATACAATACTGAAAAGTAGATTTACTAGAATAAATCAATTGCTTGACAATCTCTACGATATCTGGATAAAATTACCAAAATTTACTTCTTTCAACAAATTTTATCACTTATAAAACCATATTTTATAATTAATTTAACCAAAATTATCAATAAAGCACTTCGGTAAAAATTACCCAACTTTTTGGTGTTCCTATAAGATCCAAAAAGACGATGCATTTTATCACTCTTTTGGTTTTGACTATACTTTTTTTCTCGGTGTAGAATTTACGTTTCTAGAAATTAATATATTTTCTCTTGAGAGTTTAACAGATAATAATTTTCTGCAATCAAGAATAATAATTTATCAAAATTTATAAATAGACTATACATAAATCATAGTCAAAAAAATCCTTCAAGCGATGATTAATTACTAAATTTAAACAAAATTTTATTTTTTGTTTTCAATATCCTTTAAAAAAAGTTTGTATAGATTCATTTTAAGTGAAATTATAACTCTTCTTTTTTTAAATATTTTCGGAATTTTTAATTAATTTTAAGATGAGTTGTTGAAAGTTTAATGCTAATTTATAATGATTTTATTATATTAGTGTTCAAACATTATTTTAAAAATATATTTATTGAGAAATAAATTACCAATCTGGATTACTTAGTCAAAATATTTTTGGATTTCTTATAATTTACATAAGAATAAAAAAAAATTAAGGTTAAACAGCAAATCACTTTGAACATTGTTTTAAAAATATATTGAAATATGCATTTTTTTTTACCTAAAATAAATCTTTTTATATTAATATAAAGCAAAACAAAGAATAAAACCCCACAAAACCGATTATTCTATTTTTTAACAAATATTTACAAACTGGTTTCATGATTTTAAAACCAAAAGCTAAGAAAAACAAAATTTTAATATGTTCTTTTCTCAAAAGCAACACAAAGATTACTTTAGCCACAAAAATGCTTTACTCAATGAATATTCTCCATATTTTAACGGACCACTCTTTAAACGTCAACCGGGACGCATTAAATACTAGAATGATCTCGTGTTTCCCAAATGACCTGTGCTTCTGGAATTTTCCTTACGATATCAATTTCGGCATCTTGATCTAGTTAAACTATCTACCATGCAACTAAAACTTAGTATATGACGAGTTTCGCCATGTTTAAGGCGTTACGCCGCGAAAGGCATAAAATAAGATGGCGGATATTAGATAAGCAACAGTGATTTTTCGGTCCCCAAGGTGATTATATACTTTGTCGAGGCAACAAATTAGATATTTAATAACATTTTTTGTAAAAATCTCGACTCTAATCGTTATAATTAAGGAGTGTGATTTAACTTTTCGGGCAAAATTTAGGAGGCATTTGTTTAAATTAAGGTAATGATCTCCTAATAATTAAGAATGGAAGAACGAATTATTTAACTTATACTCAGTATTTTTAATAAAATTAGTCTCATTATTTCTGACTATAATATTAAAAACTATATTTTTTTAATTACAGATGAGTATTATTTAAATATATTACTTGGGAATTTCGAAAAATAAAAAAACAATAAATTAGCATTTAATTTGAATTTAAAGTACCTTTTTAATTGATTTCATTCAAAAGGGAAGAAGTGAAACGAATGTCTTAATTGACTATTTGTACTACACTGAAAAAAATTCTCAATCAAATTACGGTATAAAGTACCGGCACGTTGAGTGCGTCATCCTTAACATCCACTTTACCGCAAAATCAATTTTTTACCATGAAATCTATTTTAACGTAAATCCATTTTCATTGTAAGATATTGTACAGTAATATTTATATAATTAGAGTGATTCAGAGATTTTATAGCAATTATAACCACAAAAATTACGGTATATCAGATTTTTTTGCTGCGTAGCATGTTCCGTGTGAAGGAATTTTACGGTAAAACGTACCGACATCCTGAGTACCTCCACTTTTTATCACAATTTGATCTGGAATCCTTTGCAGTGTAGTGTCATTTATTTTTTTAATTATTTTTTTTGTTAAAAAAAGTTAGGATTTAATGGATTGCCTTATTCATTAAGAGGGAATTTCATGAAAACCATATTCCTTATGATAAACTTATTTAATAAAGAAAACAATAGAAAGCAATTTAGCTCACCAAATTTTTGACATTTTTGTTTTATTTTTTCGTTAAAATTTAAAACTTTTGAAACTTTGGTGAAAACCAATCGTAAGGGCTTAAGTTAGCTCTGCTTTATCAGAAACAAATTTTTTTAACTAAAGTGAGTGTAAGTGAACAGCAAAATTATTTGAGAAAAATGTAAAAACAAATCTAAGTGTATTTTAGTTGTAAAATTTGAATTTTTGGTGGAAAAATCTGATTTTTATGCGAAGACAAAAATGATTTCAAAGTAATCGTGGATATTGGTGAGCAAACCTAGCGAGGGATAAAGCCAATAATAGTTTATAGTTCACAAACAAATGCGGAAATTTATAAATCCATAACTGATGTTCCTTTTAGATTTAATATTGTTTTTGCCGTGTTTATCCATAAAAGTTAATTTTTCTCTACATTCATTGCTATGTTTGATCTATTTTTGGAAATTATTTCGTGATTTTAACTTCCATTAATATATTTAATTTTTTTTTAAATATTTACACTCGCAGATTAAAAAAAGAATCCTGTTAACATGAATAAACATATGTTGTAATTTTTAGCAACCTTAAAATTGGGATTTATGTCGCGATCTTAAAATTTGACTCAAATAATCACGAATTATAAACAAAACAAAAAAAATAACACGAACCAAAGTGGCATTTACATCCACTTTTTTTTATGCTTTAAAATGTGATGAAAAAGAGAATTGTGATACTTGGCACAAGCATAATTAATTTATACACAAAATAAAGACATAAAATGTGTGCCAAATAGTGCTATCTTTATGCGAATATAAAGTTTTTTTTTCCTTCCTTTTTTATAAGGGGAAACAAAACGAATAAATACACAAATGCTTTGTAAAAAAAGAAATAAAACATGGAAAACCACCTGAATGTGTAAAATTTCACCGAAAGACACATTTTGGTGTGAAAAGAGAGCAGATATAAAATTACCATATTCACGCACTTTCTCTAGAATAAAAATGCATAAAACATGTTTAAAAAAATATTTCAAAAAATGGAAATTGTTTTACTTCTGCAAACAAAAACTTGCCATAAGTACAAAATATATATATATAGCAATAGTAAATAAAAAGTTCGAAAAAGTAAAAAATAAAAGCATATAAAATGTTTTAGAATTAAAAAGATTATAAATAGATTTATTATTTAATATTCGTTGATTCGTTGATATTCCAAAAATGACCTTTTTTGATGTACCTTTTCTTAGCATCTAAGCAAGATATTGCTTCACTTTTTTTTCACAGAATATCTAGATAAATCGCTCATGGGCTACAATAGTGGCACAACTCAAAAAACACGAGTTTTGGACTAAGAACAGGTGCAAGTAGAAAAATACACATTCTTTTCAGCAGCAATACTTGCACAACTCATAATTTAACTTGAAGGTAATCTTCGCTTAAGCAAACTAAAGCATTTCTTATGCATTTTGCTTAGTAATGAAAATTTTAAACCCACTCATCTCAAAACTTGATTTTTTTTTTAGTTGTGCCGCTATTGCAGCCCATAAGCGATATGTGCTTACACTGTGATAACTGTTAATACACATCTTTGGCAGACAGAGAACTTTTAATTTTTTTAAAAGTTTCATCAAAAATCTTTCATTACTCAAAAAGAATTCCTGTTGACGGTAAAACATTACCACAGCATACAACTAATATAAATTCAAATAACCCCAAAAATTTCAAAGCGATAAAAGTAGATTTTTAGAAAAGGCACATCGATAAAGGTCAGTTTTAGCATTATTGATATATTACTTACCGACTCCCCTTAAATCAGGTTTCATAATTCAAAAAAATATCAGGTGATTTCACATTGGACAAAACTATGAAGATTTGTAAATTATAATTTTCTGCGCGTTTATTAATTAAAATTTAATACAAGTTTTTTGCATGAACATGAATTATTTTAACCTATTTACACCTCTGACTACACCGTAAGAATTTTAGGATAAAACCGACACTCAGGATGCAGGTACGTTTTACAGTACTGTCCATTTTTACTGGAACATGCTGCGGAACAAATATTCTGAAAAGCACCAATTTTTACAAAATAATTACTGTAAAATCACTGAATCACTCCAATTACATATATATTACTGTAAAAAATAGGGTATAATATTTCACGATAAAAATGGATTTTTTGGTCAATTGGATTTTGTACACAAAGTACCAGTACTTTTACCGTAATTGGATTCAAAATTTTTCACAGTTCATGTAATTTTATATAAGCACACACACACTACATTATATATATTGAACATTATATA